TTGTGGACATTGCTGCTATAAACATCGGGGTGCACGTACCCCTTCCGATCCCTACTTTTGTATCTTTGGGGTAAATACCCAGTAGCACGCACGGTGATTCTGACACAAATTACCTGGTATTAGGTCAAACAGGTTGAGGGCACAGCCTCTGATAAGACTTCCCTCATGTCAGACACGAGCTTGGGGGTTCCTAGGCCACCTGTCCTCCTGACCAACTGGATACCAATTCAGGGGGTTCCACCCCCCTCCCCGGTTCCATGATTTGCTGGAACAATTCACAGAACTCAGGAAAATGCTATGCCTATGATTACCACTTTAATATAAAGGATATAAATAAAGACCAGCCAAAAGAAGACACCTGTAAAGCAAGGTCTGGAAGGGTCTCAAACATGAAGGTCCCATGACCCCAGGCCTGGTCATCCTGGCAAATCAATGTGTATTGCCCACCGGGGAAGCTTACTCAAGCCCCAGAGTCCACAGATTTTATAGGGGTTTCATTATCTAGGCATGGCTGGTAGAATCATTGGCCGCATGATTGAACCACTCTCCCCAGAGGTCATACTGGTACTACCTGGCTCAAAGCCCCAGCCGAATAGTTGGTCTTTCTGGCATGGCCAGCCCCCATCCTGAGTCATCTCCTTAGCATAAACTATTAAAGGACTCATATGAGTCACTTGGTTAGTATAAGCTTTTAAGGCCCACCACCAATAACAAAGACCGTTCCATCACTTGGGAAATTGCACAAATTCAGAGGTTGTCCCCTAGGATCCAGGAGCAGAGTTCAGCCAGATTATTTATTATACAGTCGGGCTTTTGCATAGTTTGTGGACATAGGTTCTTAAACTACAATACATTTTTCTTTCTTTCTTCTTTTTGTAGGGTACAATTTGAGTGCTTACCCTAATTTTGATGTTCCAACGACAAGTCCTGCGATAATGAATCTAAAAGACAGAGAAGAGGACCCTATTGTAAATAGAAAATCACCTTTTAGGGAAGACCTTGTCTTGCCCACCATGAAACCACCCCAAGTGGACTCTGATGAGGAAGTTATTAGGTGTTCAGAGCTAGATGACAACATAACCACCCCAAAATGTGTGGACATGTGCTCTGAATCTCAGGTGTATCTGACAATTGGTGAGTCCCAGAACAAAGCAGGTTTGCCTGAAGAGGAATGTTGGACTGGCCAGTGGTCTGATGTTGGAACACATCCACGGGCAGATGAGGACCTGCCCAGAAGGAGCCCAGGTCCGGAGGATGGCCAGGCCCCAGCACTCACCTACATTGATGTGAAATCTAGCAATAAGAGGCCTTGCAGTACTGAGCCCACAGTGGTCATTAGAGCTCAGCAGGAGAGTGGGCACTCTGCTTATAACTATGAATCACACAGAGCTGTGCCAGGCCAAGAGGTAGCGGGCGGAGGTCGTCAAAATGCCATCCTTTCAGAGAAAATAACGCTCCATGAGTCAAGTACTCTAGGAAAGGTTGCAGACCAGGAGGGCAAGATGGTGCTGCTAAGTCTGAAGCTCATCCCCTCTGAGCCCTGCGATCCACTAAACTCGACTTTGAGGGATCCTTTGAATGTTAGGGCTTCCCCAAAGGACCCTCACTCAGAGGAGCAGGAGGAAGTGTCGGTGCTCTCTGGGGTCATCAAGAGATCTTCTTCCATCATCTCTGATTCAGGCATTGAGAGCGAGCCAAGCTCTGTTGCCTGGTCCGAGGCACGAAGCAGGGCCCTGGAGTTACCCAGTGACCGGGAAGTCTTGCACCATCTGGTTCGAAGACATGCCCTGCATAGGAACTCCTTAGAGGGTGGACACACAGAGAGCAATACGAGTTTGCCAAGTGGGATCCAGGCGTCTCTCACCTCCATTAGCTCTTTGCCTTTTGAGGAGGAAGAACGGGAGCTGGCACTCACCAAGTTGACCAAGTCTGTGTCTGCACCCCAAATCAGTAGCCCAGAGGGATCTGCTGAAGACACGGACACCATGCAGCAAGGTGGAGGTCTTGCTGAAAGTCCAGCCGTACCCATGGAGAGCGTAGACTCCCTGGGATCCAGAATCCAGGGTGCTGGGGCAGACCATTCCCTTGTTCAGGTGGTTCCAGGTGCCGACAGCCAGCAGGGCCCTGGTTACATAGACATCCCCAAAGGCCCAGAGAGTCAGTTTGATCCTCAAGGGCCTTGTTACCTTGATGGCAGGACTGAGAACCCTCTGGGTGTTGAAACCAAAGGTCTTAATGTAAAAATACCACGTATCCTAGCACTTGAAATCCCTAGGCACGGATCTTGTCCTAGAGTACTAACGGAGACCCCAGAGGGCATGCCTGAAGACTTGAATGTGGGGAAGGGCGCTCTTTCCGACAGCAGCATCTCAGATGATGAGACGATTGCCCACCATAAGGTGCCTGAATGGAGCTGTAGGGCAGCTGCTGATGCCAGCGGCCTGGATTCCACGGGCGAGCAGAGCAGCTCACCGCACATCATTGATGATGCAGCAGTTAGCGAAGGAGCTCACGCTCCTCTGGAGGCTGGACATGAAGCAGGCACCGTGTGCTCTCCTGTGACTCACTCCATTCACTCCCAGGTTTTAGGAAACCAAGAGCCAAAGGCAGGCACTTCCGTCATGGCATCCCACCTGAGCCCGGCGGAGACCTTCACTCTAGACAGCCTGAAGGCCGTGGAGGTCGTCAACCTGTCCGTGTCTTGCACTGCCACGTGTCTCCCTTTCTCCTCTGTGCCCAAGGAGACCCCTGCCCGGGCTGGGTTCTCTGCCAAGCAGACCCCATTGCCCATCACTCATCAGCCCTTGGGTTCCTTTGCAGTGGTCTCTACGCATTCGAGCAAGTTGGAGGAAGAAGTCAGTGAAAGGATGTACAGGTAAGCCGACTGCTGGCTTACCCGCCCCCAGCACGGTTTTAGATTCCCCGCATATTGCTCAGGTTCATGCATACTCTTCAGTATTGAGATAGGAGTTACTTCCTAGTTTAGATAAAGTAATATATTTATGTCCTACAAGTCGGAGATGCAGAATAGTAGAGGTAAAATCTATCAGCAAGCCTATCTCTCAATTACATCCACTGCGTAAGTTCTTCTGCACTTTTTTTGTGTACATCTCTATTCTCTTCTTCTTATGCAAAAATAGGATGATTCTGTACAAACTGTAAGGTTTTTTTTTTTTGAAGATTTTATTTATTTATTTGAGAGAGAGAGACTGAGAGAGAAAGCACATGAGAGGGGGGAGGGTCGGGAGGCTCAGAGGGAGAAGCAGACTCCCTGCCAAGCAGGGAGCCCGATGCAGGACTCGATCCAGGGACTCCGGGATCATGACCTGAGCCGAAGGCAGTCGCTTAACCAACTGAGCCACCCAGGCACCCTGTAAGGTTTTTTTCAACCTAACATATTGGGAAAGGTTCTATATGTACCATGATTTATGAACAAACTCCTTTAGAGAGGGATATTTGGGATTTTTTTTTTAGTTTTTATTATGATAACTCTGCTATGAATGTCACTATATCTCTGTCTTCGCACATTTTGGGAGGGCTGTTCTTTAAGGGCCTTTGAGGAAATCTGCCTCAGATTTGGCTCCTCAGCCCTTTTGTGTGGTTCTTACTCATGTCATTCCTTGTGTAATGCCAGAATCCATCCCTTCATCCTTGCGTTAGGTTTGTATTCATATTGCTCCCTCATCTATAAACTATATATTTGATTAAGTATATTATAGAATCCTTTTATTACTCTTCTGCAAAATGCTGAAGAGTTACATATTAATGATTCCCATGAAAGAGATTGCACAGGCAGGTAAACATTGGATCCCTCGCTTTATGAAGAACATGAAGTACCTAATATGCCTATGGCATCAATTTAATAAATAGACAGCAAGCACTGACCAATGCCTGCTTGTAAGGTTACCGTCCTTACAGCCTAAGAGGGAGACAGAAAGATGAGAAGAGTGAACAAGGGTAGCTGGGTAAACAGGAGGGTTCCTGTGTATGCACAGCTGAACCAGAAGAAGGACCCGATCTGGCTGGGGGCAGCGAGTGTGCCTAGAGACGGGGGCCAAGGGGTACCTTTTAGAGGTGACTGCAGAGCAAATACGAGAGACACAGTGGTGATGGTGATGATGGGGATGGTGGTGATGATGGTGATGAGGCTGGTGATGAGGCTGGTAATAGATCATGTTTCTTACTGTTTAATCAGTTTTAAGTACTGTTCTGAGCATTTTGCATAGACGGTGTCACTTAACATGCAGAATAACTTTATGAATTAGGTAATGGTGTATTCCCCTTTTACAGTTGAGGATACACAATGCAGAGATTTTAAGTGGTTGGCCCACAGCTAGTAAGTGTCAAAGCTGAGATTCTGACCTTAGCAGTCAGACTCCTGAGTTCGTGCTCTTAATCACCACCTTGTCTGATAATCGGGCAAAGATTGTGATAACCCAGTGGGAAACCCATTTCAGACAGACCTGAACGCACCAAGGCACGGAAGTAAGCAAACTGCCTTGATTCAGGCAGGGAATCCTGAGAAATGTGTTCTCTCTGGAGGCTGGGAGATGCTGCTGGGAAGCAGGTGGCCTCCAAGCCATGGTAGCCTGTGCACATAGAAATCTGCAGAACCCAAATCACACAAAACTTTTCCTGGAATGCTCTCCTGCCTCCTGGCTCAGAAAAATCATCCCTCACCAGCATCTCCTGAGGCCTCATATTCTGCCTTTGCTGCTCGCAGATACTTCCTTGTAGATGTTCATCACTCCCACGTCCCAGCCAGCTCAACTCATCTCCTGCTCAACACGGCATACACAGTGTGGCTTCTGATTAATTAGTGTATTCTCCAGTTTTTATCAGGCCAAAGAAAAATTTAAAAAAGAACTGAAGATTGATGGATTTCTGTACAGTGACTTATCTGTACTAGCTTCTGATATACCGTATTTCCCACCAGAGGAAGAGGAAGAAAATTTGGAAGATGGGATTCACCTGGTAGTCTGTGTCCATGGCCTAGATGGTGAGTCCCCAGAAAAGTTTCCTCCTCAAAATTCTGTACTGTAGACAATTTATAACATTTATGAAAGAATTTAAGTCAGGTACTTGTTCAACAGTGTTATTAGCAACCATGGGACGGCAGCATCCTGGGTCTAGGGAAGTGGCCTGGCCTTGTTCCCAAGGAAGAGATCTATCTCTCTGACACAAAAATCTGTTGAGCAAATGAAATTCATAAATGAATGCAATGATGCAGTAAAGGAATAAATGGAATAAATAAATAATGGAATGAATGAAAAAATGGAATGAATAATGAAACTAATGAACAAAAATAAAAGAAGGAATGGAGCGAGTGGATGGATGGATGGGTGGATGGATTACTGGAATGAAAATGTCAAGGGATGCATGAGTCAAAAGCACAAGGGAAGAAACGGAGTGGAATGAATGTGGATTCATGTGGGACGGGCTCAAGCTAGTGGCCCAAGCTGTTTTGTTGCCTATTTTTATTCTTTTCTCACTTATGGGGCAGTTTTTGCATGTCAGATATTGTACCAAGTTCTGGGATTGCAGAGACCAACATGGTTCCTGACCTTAAAAAGTTCTTAAATTAGTGAGATCAGTAAATATGGACTGAGAGCTGAACGCTATGAAAGATACCAGTACTATAGAGGTCCAGGGGAAGAGAGAAGAAAGTGGGAAGGGCTCCTTCTCCCCACCCTGCCTCCCAAATGACTGAGGCCCCAGTGTCAGCTTTCTTTGGGTTTCTCAATCAGTCCTAAGACTCTGTAAGATAATAGAACTTACCAGCTCTGCCGGAAGATCTTGAGGTCCCAGCTCAGCCTGGACCAAATGCAAGCACTTGGTCCTGCTTGCCCTTGTGAATTCTAGCCTCTCCCCAACTGGCTGAAAAGGAAGTGATCTGATCAGCTGGAAGTACAGGGCATCTGAGTTCTCCTCAAGCTCAAGTTTACATCATAACTGATCTGAAAACTGGAATGTGGAACATGATTTCTGGAAGCATCTCGACATCCACTTCATATGGATTCCAGTGCATAACTAATGTCAGAGAAGGGAAAGGACTTCTCTAGGGCTTCACAGGTGATGAGTGGCAAAACCTGTGCTCGGTGTCTTCTGGTGATCATGTAGTAGGGAGTGGTGGTGTGTTATGCTTCCAGGGCACACTGTTCTTTATACCCTGAATTCCCAATCCAGGGGCTAATGCATTTAGCTGTCTGGCTGTATGCCGTGGATACCGGGACACTCGGTCAATAGGTCTATTTGGTGAAGTGTCAGATAATCCAGTGGTAAATGATACATTCTAGATGAGGAGGAAGGGGAGGAGAAGCAGCATTGGTCTATCACTCAGGGGCCAGGCACCCTTCTAGATGCTTAACATCCATTAAGGTCATTGATCCTCACAACAGCTCTGCAGAGTAGGTGGTGTTATTGTCCCATTGTAACTGGGGACACTGCGTAAGAGGCCAGCTAAGTAACTTGTGTAAGTTCACACAGCTAACGTGGTTGAGCCAAGGTGAAAACCCAGCTGTCAGAGCTCCAGAGCCCATGGTTTCATTCTGCCTTATGCCAACAAATTCATCTCTTCGCCATCCAAACCGTCGTCCTCATTGCTGTTTGAGTCATCTTCTAAAAATCTTACCAGATCTGGTTGTGCTGGTCCATTAGTAAAAATCTTTCTTTCTAGCTCTCAGAAAATAAAATAAACTTCTGGCTTAGAAAACTCCTGTGTTCTGAGCCTCCCCACTATCATCTCCTACCCTTTCCCTCCTAGGATTCAACCTCACACCTTTCCCAGAGATGCATGCCATCCCACACCACTATGTCTAGTCACCCCGGGCTCGCTGTCTGGTGAGCTGTCCCTACTCAGCGTCAATGTCCCTGCTTCCCAAGTCTCAGCTGTTTACATACCTTTCCCCAATTTTGTTCCACCAGGTACCTTGTCCTGGTATTTCAAAATCTGTACTGAAATTGGCGTACTTTTTGAATATATTTTAAAAAAAAAAGAAACTTCAAATCACCACCACAAGTGAAATACTAAAATCTGTTGGCACACATGAAGAGTAATACTAAATATAATTACAATGATATGAAAATAATCTTACTGAAGTTTGACTCCATTGTCAGAAGACTGGGCTTTTGAGACTCACTTTTCTCTCTTAAAAAATAAAAAGCTACTGAAGACACACTTGTGGGTTTTTTTTTTTAAGATTTATTTATTTATTTTAGAGAGAGAGAGAACAGGGGGAGGGGCAGAGGGAAAGAATCTCAAGCAGACTCCGTGCTGAGCATGGGGCCTGATGTGGAGCTCCATCTCACCACCCTGGGATCACGACCTGAGCTAAAATCACGGGTCAGATGCTCAACCGACTGAGCCACCCAGGCGTCCCTGAAAACATCCTTGTTTTTTAACTGGGACTTGCAATTGGAAGTCCCGCAAGAAAGACAAAGAATGACTCTCCTCAGCATGATGCCCTTTTAACACAGGTGTTGTGGATGACTTAGCTTCATATCCTGCATGACCAGCGTGCCCTCTTACTTATCTGATATTAAAACGAGAAATACTCTCAGTGTGTCCGTTAAGATGAGAAATCTTGTCAGGCCAGGGACTTTTATTTTTGTCCACCATGCATGTTGGAGAGGGAGGTTATGAAGACAGGGCAGCTTTGGCAGTGTTTGGGCTAGGTCCGAACCCAGAACCGGCAGTCACAGCGTTATCGGCTAGGCAAACAGCCACCGCAAACAGAGCTGATACCACACCTAGGTTTCTCTTGGCGACTTCTCTGGTTCAGTGTACCAATGTCCAGATGCTGCAGAGTTGTACAGGACCCATTTGTTCAAGTTTCAGTGGCAAGGATATATTTATATCAACAGAGAACTGAAGAAGTTGATAAGAGTTATGAATATTCACACAACTCTTCAGGATGTGCCAAAGGCCCAAGATTTGTGTCCTTGCAAATATTCTCAGTGTAACCCCTTATTAAATCCTATTTTCTGAGAAAGTTTCAAGTTTCACTCAGTAGCTGAAGGGGAGGGAGGGGACCACTATCATTCCTTATTTAGACTCCTCAGGCTAAGTATAAACACTTGCTGCTTTTCTTTTAGGGCCAGTAGGTCACTTTAAATAAGAACCACTACAGGACCAAAGAGCCTAATTTTATCATCAGAAATGAACAGAAAGAATAAAATTTAACTTACAACACAAAATAGAAACCTTTCCTAAAAGAACACGAGCATTTCGTGGCTGTGATCCCCCAGGTTTGGGCCTGTGCTCTGCGGATCACCATCACAGGGGGCGTGTGGGGTATCGGGTCATCCTTACTGGTTAGGGATACCCTCACATCCTGTAGTTCTCCCCACTTCCATGTGGCACCCCCACCATCCTTTGAGTCAGTTGGTAGTTTCATGAAGAAGGATATAAGCTGTTTGTAAACTCTATCACTCACAGTTCCACAAACTACTTTGAAATTCTGGTTGTATGGGAAGGTAGGTCCCCTCTCTGTCCGCTGACTAGCTTCTAACTTCCGACTCTACAGGGATCCCTTTGAGGAATAGACCAAAAATTCAGTACGATGCAATCCACCCCCAGAGCCTGCATGAAATCTACATTTAAAAATCCTTGACTCTGAAGCTCATTGGGTTATAGCAGATCCATCCTCCGGATGATCTTACTGCAGGTGCTACAAGGATGCTCTGCCATTAGCGGTGGCCTCAGATTCCTTAGCTGTCACAGCTCTGTCCTGCGGTCACGGTGGGTCAGGTGGCATCCATGGAGTTGGCACAGTCATGACTCCTGCTCCCAAGGGCGATCCTTACTCTATCACACATAACCGTGCCCTGCCTGGCCCATCCGGGGTCTTGCCGGCTGCCTGTGGATGGCACAGCTGGTCTTTGTACGAAGCGGGAACTTGAAGAGGGGCCATGTAGATTGTGGGGCATGTAGACATAGGGGACATATAGATGTTGGGACATGTAGACATGTGGGACGTGTAGACATCAGCCACCCCGTGCGCCCCGTGCAGCGTGTCCTCACTGAACAGGATTGGCTGTAGAAGAGGAGGGGGCAGTGTGTTTTCGGCTGTGCTGTGCGTGGAATGTTCACGAGCCACATGTTTGTAGATCAGGGAGAAAGTCCACTGAGGTAGGACTGCTTGAAAGGCCCTGACCTTGTGTCGGGGGGCGGGGGGAGCCTAGGACCGCTAGGATGGGCTCGTTTCCACTGCTTTTATTATCTGCTTAACGAGAAAATGGAAAATTGGGGGATGGGAGAAGAGGGGGACCTAAATCCCTTGTGTGTCCATTTTGATATGAGTAACTATGGGTCTGGGGCGGGGTTATCTGTCGTTTTTAGGGAACAGTGCGGACCTCCGCCTGGTAAAAACTTTCATAGAACTGGGACTTCCTGGAGGAAAGCTGGACTTCCTAATGTCTGAAAAGAATCAGGTATGACAACAAAAACATCAGGACTGAGAGAATCTCTGAGCCGTGTCTAGAAGAACCTTCTAAAGTCACCCTGATAATCTGTGGACACTCCCACAGAAGGGGACCCTGCCAAAGAACACTGGATGGTCCAGAAAGATAAAACTCATTATTTCCTTTTGGGAAGGTGAAGAAAGAGTAAAAAGTGGGGACATGTGGGTCAGGTGGCCAGGGCACTTGGGGGGGGTGACAGCTTGGATCATAAATGGTTTGGGGGTCCATGGGTCTCTACTGGGCAAAGGGGGCTGTCACAGGCCTAACCCAGCCCTTGTGATGCAGCCCTCGTGGCAGAGGGATTTGACTGGGGTACCTAGGGACTACTGGACTGGGTCTAGACAGAAGTAATGAGCTGGTGAGTGTGGGGTGGTCACTCAGGAAGGATTGTGTCCCATGACACGTTGTCATTACAGCTTAAAAGTTGTAAATCTCATAAGCATGTGCATTTCCAGTACATCCCTTAAAAGCACCCTGGCTGGTGAGTTCCTGGTACCATTTTTTAAACCTACTGTGTCTTCCAGCGCATTTCTCATCAAGGTCAACTCAGGCCTTATAATTATTACCATTGATTCAATAATTCATGTTAAATTCACAGTATGTAGCTGAGGAGATGGAGTCTGAGGTGCTGGAGCGTAATGAACACAACAGCATCTGTCTTCACTGTGTTGAAAATGGTGTAAGCCTGACACTGGTGTGAGGAGTAGGCTGCCTTATCCCCCTGCAGGACTCGAGAGGAGACAGGCTCGCACTGGAAAGCGCAGCCCCAGGCACAGGTCCTGTGAGCAGGAGAGCGCGCCTGCTGGCCTGCAAGCATGAGTCTCTCTTACTCCGTGGACACTGAGAAGTGACCGGAGTGCTCCATCTCTGTGGTGTCTCTAGGACCGTTGAGTGGCAGGTGACAGTGAGCCACAGACCCCCTCTTCACGCCTTCTTCCCCACCCTGGTGAATGCTCATGAGTCCCCTTGTCCACCTTTGTAGCTTGGCACTCAGCACAGTTCCAGGTAGCCCACGACCCTGAAGGACAACTCCACTTATGAGAAAGCGTCTTTTATGTTGGCCCCAAATCTCTCTCCCTGTGGTTCCCGTCGGTTTCCAAAAGTTCATCCTTGAAGGGATATCTACCAATCTAGTATGTCTTCCTCATGTCTGCCCTTCCAGATTTTCAAGGTCACATCTGATGTTCCTCCTCTTCCTTTTCTGCACGCATCCTCTGACCATCCCTGCTGAGTCAAGGATGGCTTTGGAACCTGCTCTGGACGTGGCCTGGTCGCGCAGTCCCGAGGCTGTGCTGGGAAGACAGCAGGGTTTCGGGGCCGGGCGGGCTTGGGTGTGAGTCCTGGGGGCACGGGCTCACCCTTAGAGCCCGGTGCCTCCAGGTACCGTGGGGCCGGCAGGCCGCAGGCAGGTGCGGCCCCTGGCGCGTGATGACGTGTCCGTCGGTGCATGGACCTGCTGCTCTTGCCCACCAGCTTCTCCCATCGGTTTCCAGCCAGCCTTCTGACAGGATTCTCCAGCGTCCTGAGTCTCTTCCTGAGAGCCCCAGTCTGTGGGCCCCTTTCCTTGGTGCTGAACCCCCGCCTGTTACCCCAACGTCGGGCTTAGGCACACTCCCAGAATGCGCCACCATGGAAGAAGGCGGGCTTGTGCACAGAGCCTGGCCTTGCTGTGACCCCACCCAACCTACACCCGTTCCCTCTCTCTTTTTCCAGATGGACACATTTGCGGATTTTGATACCATGACGGATCGGTTGTTGGATGAGATCATTCAGCACATCCAGTTGTACAACCTCTCCATATCCCGAATTAGGTAAAAGGAAACCACAGGTAGTTAATGCTGGGGGAAGAGGAGAGGCATTTCTGGGTGTTGGCTGTAGACAAGTTCAGCATGCTGCCTTCTGTCTACAACCTTCAGAAGCTAACTTGTGACTTACTGGAGTAGGTGACTTTCAGAGCAGGAGTGAGTGGGGGAAAAGGAGCATTTCATAGCTCAGTAGAAAGGGAACTGGACTTCAACACAGACCCCTAGGTTTGAATTGCTCTTCTAACACTCACACATCTGAGGACTGACTCTACCATGCAGCCTCTCTCAGGCTTTCTAAACCTCTGAGCCTCCATTTCCCCGCCTGCTAGGTGGGATAAGCATGAACATCTGGTGGGGAACAGCAGAATGCATCACCTGCCCCATAAGCGGGCTTCAGTCCACACTCATTCGGTCCTTCCACTCCGAAATGAGCTTGGCCGGAATGTTTCCTGATTTAGGCGAGAGCCAATGGCTTGTGTTTTTTGTGTGCTTGCAGTATGTGGACAGAGCGGTGAGGCCACATGCCTCAGTCCTTTGAGGCCCCAGAGATAAAATATCCGTTCTTTATTTCACAAATGAGAAGGGAGAGGCCTATGGAGATGGAGTGAAAAGCTAGGTAAAGCCATTTCATAGACAAATGTTCATTTCCTTTCTCGGCCTGTTTTGTGCTCACCATGAGCAGAGCCATGGACCCTCATGTGATAGGGTTTCCATAAACAGGTATTCAGTTTGAAAATAACGCTGCGTTGGGTCCTCAGATGTGTGAGTCACAGTGTGACTGGAGCAGAGCATGCAGGAGGGGCATCCAGTGGCACGGGCCGGCAGTGGGCGACTCCTTACATTTGCAGTGATGGTGGGCAATGAATAAAATCACAGAGGGAGTCAGACGTCAGGTCGTGAGCGGCCTCATCAGCCAGGCCAAGGAAGTGGGGTTTCATCCTGGGAATGGCCAGGGCCCCCCGGCAGCTGGAGACGAGACACAGACCACAGGCGGGGCTGCTCTCAGAACACGGAGCCCGGCCACACGCCCGCGCTTCTCTTCGGACCACACCGGGCGGCAGAAGCCTCGTGCCCTAGGTCTCTGTCTCAAGCTCACTGTGGCCAGAGGCTGGAAACCCAGGGAGGGTGGGCTGGCAGCCCCCATTTGCTTTGCCAGATCCCCCGAGTCGGGGTGGGGGATGGCGGGACCCCTCGGTGCTCCCCAGCACACCAGCTGGCCTCCCACGGCCACGCTCATGTGCGGTTCTCTTCTGTCCTAACAGCTTCATCGGCCATTCCCTTGGCAACATCATCATCCGGTCGGTCCTCACGCGGCCCCGGTTTCGGTATTACCTCAACAAACTCCACACATTCCTGTCGCTGTCTGGGCCTCACCTGGGGACGCTGTACAACAACAGCACTCTGGTTAGTACAGGTAAGACTCCTCCGAGCCCGTCCCTCCTCACAGTCCATTCTGGGCAGAGGGAAGATGAAAGCCCAGCAGAGGTTCTTCTTGATGGAATCTTGTGGTTTGGAGGCTCTTCAAGCATGGGACTCTGAGCAGAGAGAAAGAGGGCCTCTCCCGTGTGAGTCCAGTGATCAGACTAGATGCCACTGAGACCTCGTCCGTGAACGGAAGGGTCATGCCCTGGGGTCCTGACTGGACAAGATCGAGCAGGCACAGGAGTGGGGAGGAGGGAGCAGGGGCATCTCGGTCTGCTCAGGCTGCTGTAAGGAATCGCCATGGACTGCGTGACTTACAGACAACAGAAGTGTATTCCTCGCAGCCTGGAGGAGGTCCTGCTTCACGGGCGGCACCTTCGCTCAGCCTGTAGCAATGGGCCTTGAACCATGTCCCTGCCATGGCGAGCCTGAGGCTGAGTTCTGACCCAGACACTTGGGGGATGACTCTGGCCAAGACATTTTCATCCCTACGCAACTTAGAATATTCTTATTTAAAAATAAGGGTATTTTTAAAATGGAGTTAGCGTGTGTATGTATGTCTGCTTGTGTATGTGTGTGGATGCGTTTATGATCTTTAGGTATATGTATGTGTGTAGATATGCATATCTATAAATGTGTATATTATTTCTGTGTGTGTGTGTGTGTGTGTGTATCAGAATTGTCGAAGATTAAGCAGGAGAAGGAAGGAAGAAGTTGACTAACATGTATGGGAGGACAGCCAGGGCCGGATTCTGTACTTCTTGCCGGAATGGAATGACACGGCTCGCAGCTTTGAGGCCCTCAAAATTTCCTCTGTCAGGTTAGGAACACCATGGAGAATAAAGAAGCAAGGCTCAATGAATCTTGGACAATGAGCAGAATTTCTAAGATAGTGAATGGTGGGACAAGTGTTTTGTGCGGAAGAAAACAGTATGTATAATAACAGAAGCAGGCGACAGGTGGCTTTTTGTGACAGGAATACAGGCTGAGCTAGAGGAACAGAAGATGACCATGAAGCGCTCAGCCAAAGCCTGATGATGAAGGGCCTCCCGTGAAGTGCTGGTCTCTGTAGGAGCCACCACCATGGCAGCCCAGGGAGGGTGTCAGGTCTTGTGGAATAACAACTAGTTTATTAAATCATACTCCTGACAAAGACTTCAGTGGTCCCCGATTGCCCCCAGTCCATTAGGTGGCATCTGGGCCACCCCAGTAAGCTCCCACTCCCTGCCTGTCTCCCAGCCCCTGCACCCTGCACTTGCCCGACACCCCGGGCAGACTGGGCTGCTTGCCTTCCTCACAGAGGCGGGTCAGAGCTCTTTGTCTGTCTTTAGGTTATTTTAAGGACATTATTTGAAACGTTGGTCATAACAAGTGGAAGACCATTCCTTTGCCATTCTCTCCGTCCCCACAAACCAGGGAAGCCATCATTGGACAGAAACACATGATTGAAACCACATCTAACCTTTTTCATACTTATAATCTTGCGACATGACAAAAAGAACTATATTGCATTCATTTCCTTGCATTTTTGTCACACTCACTTTTGTCGTGGTGACGCAATACTCCTCAGCTTTGGTGCTGGTGTAACCAGGGTCAGGGATGGACTCTGAAGTGGAAGGTGTTTTCAGTTTTTCTCCATGCTACGCGGATCTGTAAGGAGCATCCATATATACGGCTTTGTGTTTGGGATTGCTTCCTTAGGCTGGTTTTATGAGGCGAGGTCGAATGGGTCAAAGGGTGCAGAAGTATCATGACTCCTAATGCCAGTCACAATATCATTTTGCAGGGTGATTTTATATCCCTGCCACAAGTACATCATAAAAATTTTCCTCTAACTTCCTAAGAATTTGCTGAAGTGCCTACTACTCTCTTATATTAAAATTAACTAAAAACCACAGTTTCATATTAATCTCTCCCCAATTATTTTTGCTCTCTTTAGGTTATATTTTTGATTTTTGTTCTGTTTCATTTTGGTCTTTCTAGGCTTGTGGCTCATGCAGAAATTAAAGAAATCCGGGTCCCTTCTGCAGCTGACCTTCAGGGATAACGCCGATCTACGCAAATGTTTCCTCTACCAACTAAGCCAGAAAACAGGTGAGCGCCTTCCTCTGCAGCATGCTGCTGTGGTCACAAGTGTGAGCTGGAGGTGCAGCCCTGAGACCCAAAATCGCTCCACCACTGCGTCGATGCGCTCAGGGAAGGGTTTAGTCAGGAGGTGCAGCGTGCACAGACTCTTCAGCTCACAGGGAGGCTGCCAGCTACCCCCGAACTCAGCTGCTCCCGGGAAGGGCGTCCCAGGTGCGCCAAGGTGTGCGTAGAGACCATCTCTACGCGCAGAAGCTATAGCTTCTCCTTCCTGCCAAGCTTTCAATGCCCTGATCTGCGTGCCCACACACTGCTCCTTCCCAGGTACAGATTCACCCACAAAAGGGGCAGGTGTGCACCGTTCATTTAGGTTGATAGTGCAGGGGGAGACGGGGGTCCTTCCCAGGCAGGGCTGAAGTCACGCCTTCACCCACACTGTGATGGCAAGTGCACAGGGCTGTTGGAGACCCTGCCTGTGTTGTGGGAACGAGCAGAGGGCAGCAGTGGTCTGTGTGTCCAGCCTCTGTCCCATGTCACCGTCTCCATCATCCTATGAACACCACCCCCGCTGACATCTCTGCACCTCTCTGAACGTGAGACCCCAGGCAAGTCCTTACCCAGTGTGTCTCTGTGCCAAGCTGAGCTTTCAGAAGTCCCCCCAGGGGGAAAGGAGGGAGGAGGATTGGGCAGAGGGGAAGCTGGAGGGCAGTGTGGTCACCGCAGAGAGCTCAGGAGCTGGGGCGACCCCGCAGAGTAGGGTGAGGGGCTGGTCTTCATAACCCTGCTCTGCGTCCGCCAGTCACTGAGGCAGGCTGGCCCCCAGCAGGTGGTCTTGGGAGGCCAGAGGTCCCACCGCGGTGCAGGGGCACGGGGCTGAGGGCCGTGCAGGCAGAGGGCCTGGGGGGCACACTGCAGTGTCTGTCTGCAGGCCCGTGCTGGGCTCTGGGGACGCAGGTCCGCGCCATGCTGTTTAGCCCCCCTGTCTACAGCTGCAGGCAGGGAGGCACGTTCGGAGGCCGTTTTCCTCCACTGGGGAAAGGATGAGCACTGCACTTAGGAGCTGTCCCCATTGTTGAGAAGGAGGAGCAGAGTCCTCGCTTTATTCCTCATGGACTCCTTAGCGCTTGCCACCCAGAAGGGCCCCTTTGTCACCTGCGTGCTGCTCCCCTCCCCCCGTCGAGAGGAGCTTGCCCCCGCGTCTCTTTAGCTTCTGTGGCCGAGGAGAACAGGGCTGCACCTTCTCTCTGAGATACAGAAGCGACACTGCAAAACCCACAGTGCCACAGCTAGCTGGTCTTCCCCCTTCCCCTCTCTGTGCTCCGTGTGCAGAGCTGGGGGTGTCCTAGTACCACCCGACCCGGGAACAAGCGCCCTCCTGGCTCGTTGCAGGTCTGCAGTATTTCAAAAATGTCGTGCTCGTGGCTTCTCCCCAAGATCGCTATGTGCCATTTCATTCAGCCAGGATCGAAATGTGTAAAACTGCCCTCAAAGACAGACACACAGGTAAGCCACATTTAATTCTTATTATTATTTTTATTTTTATTTTTTTTACCGACTTTCTGATGTAAAAAGCACAAGTAAATTCGAGAAATTGCCAGTGCCTACGAGGGCACAGGGGATGGCCCGCCGGGCACACCCAGAGCTTTTCTCCAGATCCCGCCGGCCCCCTTCTGCTAGGGCTTCACCTGCGCCCCCCTCCCCCAGGGCCCGTGTACGCGGAGATGATCAACAACCTCCTGCGCCCCCTGGTGGACGCCAAGGACTGCACTTTAATCCGGCACAACGTGTTCCACGCGCTGCCCAACACTGCCAACGCCCTGATCGGCCGAGCCGCGCACATCGCCGTGCTGGACTCCGAGCTCTTCCTCGAGAAGTTCTTCCTGGTGGCGGGGCTCAACTACTTCAAGTAGCGGCGGGGGGCGGGGGGCCGCGGAGGCTTAGCGACCCCTGAGCGCGCTTTAGCCTGGACCTCCTTCGCAGCCCTCTGCCACTCCAGACGGAGCCCCGAGAGGCAGGTGCCGAGGCCAGGAGGGGGCTGGGGTGGGGGTGGGGGTGGGGACCGGCCGTCCCAGGTGCTTCCGTTTCGGAGGAGATTTGGGAAAGCTGAACCCGTCCACGGTAGTGTCACCTGGCGAGACGTTGCCCGAACGTGTCCGACCACCTGGAGTCTCTTTCAAGATGCTTTCTAGGAGAAATATGACAAAATAAAGAAACAGAATCCTTGGGGTCGGTGAGCCCACCTTTTCCCCCACCGCGGGCTCACCGAGTCCGCTCCAGTTTCCCCAGATCTGTCCGGTATGTTCCTAGCTCATAAGCTTTATCATTCTGATTAAATTAAGTGCATACAAGCATTTCAGAACTCAGGTGAACCTCTGTGTGGAAGTGGGACATATTCGTGTAAATATAACCCTTAATAGATTCCAATGTGCCACTTGCTCAAGACAACGTGATGCCCACACGATCATTCTCTCTCATGTTTTCTCAACAAGGGGCAAAGGAATGCTTTGTACACTCCGATCCTAGTTTATGAACAGCAAGGGGTGGGGCGATTTAAGGTGTGGGGGGGAGAAAGGCGATGCTCTTGGTAAATGCAGGGTTGTTACAAAGAAAAACAACTAGAGGGAACGTGGTGAACCCTTTTGCTTTACCTACTCCTCCACACTGTCTAGGCAGAGCCATGGCCCACAAATTATTTTTGTGAATGCTTAAATCTCTGTCCTTGGGGAAAACGGACTTAGATTAAATTTAGAAGGGGGCACTGAGATGGATGCACAGGCTGATAGGAAGCTCCTGCTGGTATTCTTCCAAAGAAATGCTACGTTAGCATTTGATGCAATTGCAAATAAATAAATAAATAAATAAATACAAATAAAACCATTAACGTGACCAGCTGCTTCTCCTCTCCGTGGAAGGAGAAACATCTAAACGGAGGAGTGCTGGATTAAACCTCAGGGGAGCTCTAAGAAGGTGCTGGCTCTCTTTCAATAGAAATGTCTTCTTGCCTTAGGAAAATAAAGGGCTAGGAGAGGTCACCATTGATAAAAACCAACAAACAGCAGGGACAACAGATCAGAGAGGAGGACCACAGCCAGATCGAGGACCCAGCTTAAATTGTTACTGGTAAGTCACTTAAGGGGAGTTTTGAAAATTGCCAGGCTATTTGATAGGGTCCCAGAGACTGAGTCCACTCTTGGCCTAAAGGAAGCCTGGAGAATCACCTAGTCACGCTGAAGGAGGGCGCGAACCAGGACAGGAGGGATGACTAACACAGGAGACCCATCTGCAGGAGGTAGAATCTCCTGTTTCTGCAAAACCCCCTTCTCACATGTTTCGGAAACTCCTCTGGGACCAGATTCCTGGTCCCAGCACCTGGACCATGACCTTTGCTCACCAGTGCCATGGTCCTAAAACTAAGTAAATCTTGGCTCATCTGAGAATTGTACTCACACGTTAACAGTGTGACTTTGCAAAACAAAGGTAGACCATGAGAAACCAGTCCAGGTATGTAGGCAGCTTCACAGGACAGGAGACCCATGGATTTCTCGTGAAAGAAGGCGGGGATGGAGATGAATGAGCCTCTGAGGCAGACTCGCATACAGTGGAGTTAGGGTTTCTCTGTGGGTCTCCTGTGAACTTTCATTATATCCTAGGCTTCACCCATATGGGACCAGTAAGTCCCGTGGGTCTTTTTCCAAGTTCCCGCTGGACAGAGACTAGTTACTCATGAACAGGACCGATCCGCAGGATAACCCACCAGGAATCGGTTCCTGCGGTGGAGCCCATGATGTGTTTCCTGGTCTAGACGCGTGTTCGTGCTCAGCGCAGGACCATACGATTGTGGCAACTTCTCCTTTTTGGCCAGATGAGGAGCCCTGCCCCTCTGATGAAAGCATATCATTTTGTGTTTCCGATACCCATCAGCAAAGTTTGTCATTCCCTGGTCATTTGCAAGACCGTGTAGCCAGGGTGAATCCAATGACCATTGTCTTTTCCAATAACCAGATGCCATTTTTAACTTCAATATGCTGTCTGGACATAGAACTCATGGCAATAAACGTCCAGCTGCATGGTGTGCCCCTTTTTTATAGGGGTGATCTGCTGTCTTTGTAAACCCTCTCTGGCCTCTGAGCATCCAATCTATTATGTAGAAAGTACATCTCTATATTGTAAATAAGAGTGTTCAGTGTTGCGTGTCATGCCTCATTTGAAAAGGCTTTTTTATGTCTCTTTCTAATGAAGTATAGATATCTAATATATATATACATAAATATATATATAAAATGTAAAACAGGGACATTATATTATTTATTATAAAAATTATAAACAAAATGCCTGCCAAGATAATGGTCTAGTATGTTTTCATTCTTAGCATCATTTTTGTTTCTTGTTTTTACGGTTGGTTAAGTTTCTCAGAAGTAGTTAGAAATAAAGATTGCTACTCCTGAGATCAGTTGGAATCCGTTGTTCACAAGCCAAATAGAGCCAAGAAGTAGATGGGAACCAAAAGTTCCCTGGGGGCCAAACTCATACCTCGATGGCAGGGTGAAGGCGCTGGAGGGCTCTGAGCCCGGGGAGAGGCTGCAGAGAGGAGAGGCTCCTGCTTGCGCCCACAGTCCACAGGTGTCTGCCGAGCGACTTCCCTCCATGTCTGGTGGGAGCACAGGGATCGAAGGTGCAGTACCTGCCCTCAAAGAGCCCAAGGGAGAGGCAACCTTGTGATGAAGGAGGGCTTTGGCAAGGCTGTTCGTTTGTTCTTTCGTTCATTCATTCATTCATTCATTCAGCAAATCTGTATGGAGGGTCTGCCGTGCCAGGGATGGACAGGTCAAATTGAGCAGCTCGCAGTCTGGTCAAATGGGAAGGCGAAGGAGGTCAGCACCACCCAGAGGTCGGGATCAGAGTGTGCTCAGAGGAGGGTCACCCAGCCCGCACTGGACATGTGTGGTGTCTGAAGAGGCCTCTGCAAGAGAGGACATCTACGCCCAGACACCAGGGCCGAGTCAGGGTGGGCCTGGTGAACGTGGGTGACAGGGAACCCCCTGGACAGGGAACAGAATGACTGAGAGCCTCGAGGAGGGAGAGCTGGACCTCCGGCACACTGGACAGGTGAATGGAGACTGTGCAGGGGTCAGAGTGACAGGGCAGAGGTGTGAGAACTCAGCCTCCATGCGGGACTCTCTCTCAGGAGGAGATTCCCCTCATTCCCACTAGCAGGAGAATGTCCTCTCAGAAGCGGGTCTGCCAACCCCCTGCGTTCACATCCTTCTCCCGGGTTAGCTTGTAAGACAGACCTGACCCTCCGTCTGCGGAAAAGCCCAGGACCACACGTGCCCACCCCAACTCACTTCCGATGACACTGTGGATATGTCTTCCCTGCTTCTCACCGAGAAAAGCCAGAGCAAAGGGCATCACATACACAGCCATGAAGAGGGAATGGCCATTTGGTTAAAATTACTGCAATTAGCACGATTGTTACTATTTTCTTATTTTTTTATTTTTCTTTCTGTGCATGGAAGCCATCGGGTGAGATGCGTGCAGGGGTGTTTGGGGTGACTGAACTAACTGCTCTTGATTGTGTGTCTACGTGGGCAAAGAACCTGCTTCTCCGTTGACAGCTGGGCAGTCTGCAGCCCCAGCAGGTTGAAGTAACGTGCTCAAAGCTACGGTCCCTCATTCAGTCATGGACATTCCCTCACAGCTGACCACGAGCCGGGGATCGGTCACAAAGCAAAAGCAAATAGGCAGACCACCGATGGAGAATGCATGAGAGGGGTAGGGGGCGCACAGAAAGTCACGGGCATGGTGAGATGGCAAAGGCCAGGTTCGGAAGGAGCCGCGAGAGGAGCCTGCGGGGTTTGCAGAGGGGCCAACGCAGTGTGCGAATGGGAAGGAACAAACTAGAAATGGTAGCGTGTGACCCAGGTTTTCCTGTGAAGAATAAAAACATGTAAAAGTGCTAGGACGGGACAGAGTATTTGGTGAGCCCTCGTTTGTGTGAGATGATGGCACCTCTCCAAGACATGCCCATTGAGTTGAAAGTCTGCTCTAAGGTATTTGCAAGCCCCCAGACATAACTGTCACTTCTCTTTTGCTGTGTGGCTTGTTTGGGTTCATGGAGTATCCTTCTGAGTGTCGGCAATAACAAGGGAGGCTCCGTACAGTTGCGTGGGTTGTGTAAAAAAGAATCGCAATGACACAATAAATAAATAAATAAATTAACAAGGGAGGCTCCGTACAGTTGCGTGGGTTGTGTAAAAAAGAATCGCAATGACACATAGAGGAAGCCTTGTGCTTGCTTACCTTGTTCTTGCAAGGTATCCGTTCCAACACCCTTAGGGAGGATGTGTGTCAGTCTTCAACGGATTGAGCCAAGCACCATAAGCTAACATCTGGACCAGTTTCATGTCTTTGTTTCCTATTTTTTTCATTTGCTTATTCTTCCCATGCTTTATTGAGCACCTATTTTGTGCTTGTTACTGTACTAGACTAAAGAGCTAGTACCATAAATCACATAACCCTAAACAGGATCTGGAAGGATAATAACATATAATGTTTTATTTTTAGCTGTTAGTTGTGAAATGAAAGCCATGGGACTTCAGCATCATAAGAGGAACGTTGCATGTTTAATCCAGACTCTGTCTGATGGTTAGCATCTTGAGCTTTGCTCTTCCAACCTCTGCTTATCCACACGGGGCTCCATTCACATATCACAAAGCAGGAATGCACTGCAGTGACATTACAAAGTCATTATGTGTCCCTTCCTCCTTTCCTTTCCTTTTTTTTTTTTTTTTTAATTTAGTTCTGTTACTTTTTCTTTACCCTTTTTTGGCTTTATCCATGGTACCTCAGCATTACACATAATGCTAGAGATGTCTCAGTAGAAAACACCTTTGAAAACCGTTGTAAACAGAGCTGAGCCCTTCCCACATCTTTTCATGTGGAGTGGTGGTAATATGCTCTCCTTTCCAGTGGGCTGAACTCTGTACACCAATTTTAATTTTAGGGACTAGGGCCCCAGTG